TATTTATTTATTTATTTATTTATTTATTTATTTATTTATTTATTTATTTATTTATTTATTTATTTATTTACCTAATAGTAGAACGGCATCAGTAAAAATATTTTTCGAAGATGCTCTTTCAATATTTCTAAAATAAATGCCAAAAACTCAAAAAAAAGTTAGTAAAATAAATTATGTTTCTGTTAGTAAAAACAATTTTCTGATTGGTTGCCGCATTGTCGCTTTTGACGTCTCAAGGGACTCTACGCTCTCCCCTGGAGGAAAAACAAGGCAAAAACATAATTTTCGTATATTTAGAGTTATTAAAGCTAACAACGTGAATAACTATAGGTGCTCTTTGCATTTTTATATGCAAGTTGATGTCACTACTCTAACCTATGGAGTGCAGTACATTGCTTATTGCAAATGAAAAAGCGAAATGATAGAAAATACGAGTATATGTATTGTTTATCTTGTATGTTTGTGTCATTTTTAATACGATTTTCTTATAAACCAGAAATCAGGTGATCCATGAAACATTTCCTTGTTACTTTGCATATATGCGAGGTTCTGAATTATTGTAGTAGTTAATAAGTGTCTAGTATGTATTTTTTTATTGGGTCTTTAGACAAATGTGAGCATGTCTCTCTTGCGAAAACTGTCCGCATTATTCGCACTCAGCGGTCAATATAACGTACTATTTTCGGAAAATAAAGGAAAAAACAGAGGCGGAACCAAACATAAAAAGCCACCGGTCCCATCGGAAGCTCAACCAAAAAAACACAGCTGGTAGAAAGGGAACAAAAGAGAAAGCTCTAGTTACCTAGATAGTGTATTGGGCTGAACCTGACTATAGAGAAAGTACCGTGTTCTGTATCGCAGTTGCGGCGACGCGCCTGCTCCCGCGCCATCTTGGCCCTCCTCCTCAGGCAGCAGATCACCAGCAGGGCGAGCAGGGGGAAGCCGAAGATGCAGGAGATGATCGGGATGACCACTGTCTCTGGAGAAACTGAAAACAAAAATGTTTATTATAAGTTTTGGTCAATCAATCACAACACAAATCAATCATGAAAATAATTGTTCGGAACAAGGATTGAGTGATACATTATTTGAAAAATATAATTAATATCTTTTAGAATGACATTTATCATGTTTAACTTAAGTAATGCCTAAACCAGTATCATATCACACATCACATCACACTTCACATCACATCACACATCACGTCACACATCACATAGCTCACCATATCACACATCACTTGTATTCTATCTGATATGTATATTGTACTTTTGTAATTACCACTCTGTAGTATCATTATTTTGTCAAATTAAATACAGGTAGGGACGATAATTCTTTAGATAAAGTGGTTTTAAATGAACTTTTGAGCTTTGAAATGAATTAGCAAGGGTTGACAATAAATCTGGATTAAGCCTTATTAGTATCCCACAGTGATTATTTCTGTCAACTTGTTTACGAACCGTAAATCATAAATATTTTGGTTATTCTCTCGTTGGGCATTGCAAGGTGCCCTAACAGTTATAAACTCGAGTTTTAATGTTGGAATATGATATACTTGACAAGATAATTATTAAACTATGAAAAAAATGTGACAGCGAATTATTTTGAAATTGAAAAATATCTTTTTATTGCCGAACATTTTCACAAAGAATCCATTTCACTTTTCATGCGATATTAAATTTTGGACATTTTTAAATATTTTAACTTCTCTATGATTACTTTACCCCTACGTCCATTTAAAGTAAGTTTAAACTTATTTGCTGGTCAGAAAAAGAAAAACTTCATTACTTATTTACGAGAGGTCCACTTCTGAACACGGTAAAACATACATCTCGGACTTTTCCTTTATTTGGAATGCCACATGGCGCAAAACTAAAACTTACGTCCAGCGGTCAGAAAGAAATAAATATTTTATTAGACGTTTCACGCCTGTGTACTGTAAAAATCCAGAAGGATGAACATTTTACTCTATGTACAGGAGAGTTCTGTTCGAACTAAAGCAGTGTGAGAGACGGTTTATGCCGCTTCCTAACGTCTTTATGTTCGTTGTAAATGTATCGGTATCGGATGCAGGGAATTCGTTTTCAGTAATATACGTTTCGGCGCTCCGTGAGTAACGATTTTGTTTAGTGTCAGTAAGCGCCATCTTTCAGGAATTGAATAACAGAGTAGAAATGTGAATCAGACAGATGGATTTCGAAAATTCTTATTTTTGAAAACGATTATTAAAATTTACGATATAAATAGCGGTTCCTTCATTCAGNTTGGTCGGCCATCTTGGATCCGCCATCTTGAATTTTGCAAAATTGACCTCGGATCTGTGATCAGCGACCCAGAAAACCCCCGTACACCAAATTTGGTACGAATGTGTTATTTTTTAAAAATTCGTGATATCTGACCTTAAATTGATCCTTTTTTTTGAGGTTAGAAAAAGTACCATCAATTTTGACCGCGGATTCACGTCCGGCGGTGTATTAACCATATAAATGAACATTTGAATGTAGAAAAATATTTTCTCTGTTTTTCCTAGCATTTTTTCGTGAATTTTTGCTATTTTTGACCTGTTTTTTGAGGTTAGGAAATTCCTGTGGTGTGATATGTGATCTCAATTCTAAGACCGGATTCGTGATCAGGAGGCAAAAACATTACGAATAACTTATGTCGCATGAAAAGTACAAACTTTTTATTTGTGTGGCTGTGTTATAATAATAAGCGATTTAAATTTACCGCGCGATTTATTTCTGTATGGCACCAAGAGATGGCGGAAACTTAGTTCGTTGGTAATACCTAAAACTTGACGTTCTATATTAAAGATATTTCTAGGGTTTATTTCTCATTAGAGAAGATGCATGCAGAGTTGCAGCAGAACAGAACAGCAAAAGACTAAAGACTAAGCAGGACTTTCTATATTCGCTACAAGGGAAGAACACTTTCTCAGTTGCTCTGAAGGTTAGTGCACACACATAAGCACAAAAAATACTAAAAAAATAAAAACAAACCGGTGTGCCGGGATGGTAGGTATCTTACAGTGGTCCCGAGTTACCTGTCAGCACACAGATCTTTCACCGTATGCTATCTGCCGGCGCCGTGATTGTCGGCGTCTCCGTCGGGGGTCATCACCTCGACGACGGTCTGGTCGGGCTCGGGGTCCGACCGCTCCTCGACGACGGTGTCCAGTTCTAACGATGGGAAGCCTCTGCTCATCGCCCGTTCTGATCGCAGCGATATGGCTCTCGAGGAACGACCTGGGGACGAAAAAATAACATTTAGTTTGTGTTTGGGATGTTCCAATATTCTGATTGGAGGGTCTAATGATTAATTTTCTTCATTTAGTCGCTGCAGAGCGCGAAAGTTATACAGTTTTTTAAAATGTCATTCCAAATAATTTTGAAATTCTTAAACTACAAGAAGAGAGCCATCTATCAACAGTTCTATCAATTGAAACACATTACGAACTCCAGGAGAACAATAGATGGCTCTGGTAGTTCCACTGTTGCGTTACCAAGAATTTATACCACACAATATGTCCATAAAACTCAAATCTACATCTTTAGAACATAATGTTGTTTGTTTACATCTGCGGAATACTTTCATTCGTGATATTGAAATCCCGCGTCACTTATAGACCCACAGAACAAAGAAGAATCTACTCCTTTTCAATATGGATGACTTGTTCAAGGTCACAAAATGTTTATGTCCTTACTGATTTGGATACTGTGTTTATACAGAAAGCAAACTCTTATATTCTGTTTATATAGAATATTGGAACACTGCAAGTGCAACATGATTTGTTTTTGATTAAATTTTTTATATTTAAAATACAAATATAATGTATAATAACTAAGACACTCCAAGCTAATCGAATTTTTAGATTGGCAGCTACTTTTTTTTTATTTTCAATATAATATACAATAGGCTGAGTACCCAATTACAGGATTAGGTAACTAATGCATAAAATAATAAATAAATTACAGTCAAACAAAAAAAATGTCATATGGTTTTGACCAAACTAGTATATTGTAAATCCACTGTCAGAATTGCGCTAAAATAAGTCGAAAATAGCAAACATAGACGAAGAAGTATGAGAAAAAATTACAAAAAATTTGTTTTTCAAATTTCTTAGCATAGCAATTACATAATTGGGCTCACTGAATCCAAATCTATCTTCAGAAATCATACAGCACACCTCATTTTTTTCTAACCTCAAAAAAAAACGGCCAGAGATCGAGGTTTGCAAGAAATAGTTTTTAGGTTCGCTAATCACGAATTTGAATTCAGAATTGCAAAATTCAACATGGCGGATCCTCTGTACAACATCAGCAACTGCATCACACCAATAAACATTTTATACGCTGACTAAGTAATACTGCAACACACGACGCAGGTGCACAATATGCACAGGGTCGGCTTACGTTTATAATCAATTTTCTTGATTAATTTTCTCGAAAACAGAAGCATTTAGATTAGACCATCATTTACCACCATTGCTTAATAAAAGTTGCTCATTTTGGTTCCCTTAGGAACGTACTTATTTCAGAAACGCCCTGTATACCTACCTGTCTCTATGTTGGATCAAATAAAATAGCGACTGAAAACAGTCATCAGTCGCTACTCTTGTGTCGTTTACATTTAATTGAATTGGAGGTAGGGAAGGTAAAACTTGACATTAAATTTGAAGTATCAGAGCAAAATCGATTTGCTAGTAGCATCACGCCGACAAAGCAACTGATTTGAGTTTCTAAAGTTAGTTTGATCACAATACAGCTAAATGTTACAAATGCGAAATTTAGAAAATGTTACGACATACATATATTTTAACAATTACAAAGCTGCCCTAAGTATTTTATTAACTGAGGACCAGTAAATCTAATTTTTTCTACAATCCCGTGAAAAAAATGCGTTCACATTCTTTCGTGCTCCCTTTGTTGTTTCGCGATGAAGTATAATGAAAATTTAGACAAAAAATGGTTTCGTTCGTGACCTGACGTATTATATCGTCTAATAGCATCGAGTTGAAAGAAAATGGAACAATAACAGACAAGAATTGGTTGGTGTAAAGGGAGAGCGAGCGAAGAGTAGATGAAATCCCAGGGAATGTACCTTGAGAAACTTGTCCCTTTTAGACGTTAATCCATACACAGGAACAGGATTTGTTAAGTAACCACTAACCGAGCTTTGAACACGCCGTGAATATTATCACTAGATTTACTTCTGGATGCAAAGCCTCTAGATGGGGAAAACGATGTGGCTCATTAATTCCATGGCTTGCTCTTACGAAAAGTACAGTCAAAATATGGTTTGTAGGTAATTTCTGTTTTATTCCCGTACAATCCCATCTAATTTGACTCAGTCTGTCTTATGTCGGTGTTTATAAAAGTTTTGAAGTCGAACTGCTCCAGACTATCACTGTCGCGTGAATACGACAGCAAAGCGAAAACGTGAATTCGTTTCTCGATTTCAAGGTTTCTGAAGCACCAAACGTGAACTAACGTGAACTCCCGGAGGGCATGGAGCTTATTAAACCTATTGCACCGTGAAATGCTGGCCCAGATATCTAAAAATAGCTTGAAAAGTCAATAACATGAAGTTTTGATGAGACAACTTTTATACCTCTGTTAATTAGCCACGTGAAAAATGAAGCTGAGATGCAATTGTTTAGTTGATGTGGAAATCTACAGTTAATTGTTTTTATACAAGGTGTTTTATGAACGATGAGCGACACTAAAGAAGTTGTAGTGTGTCTTAATCAAAAGTCGTTTCGTTTTAGGACGTGAAAACTAAAGAGATAGATTTTGGCAATACTTCGAAAAGCATTAATCGAGTGAATAATTTTATATTTCTAGGACAAAAATTATTTATAATCTTAACGTTTCAAGAGACATGTCGTTCTCGCCTTCACTAGAAACTCTGGAAGTCTTCTGGTTGCCATTTACACAAGGTGTTAATGAACTTATGTCAAAAATTTAAAAGGGGTGAAAAAGGAGCAAA